GGGAGTCAACGTATGTAGAAGTGCTCAGAGCGCATAGCAAGAGCCCCAAAGAATTGCTAACAATCCTTCGTTATATAGGTACTTCGGTACTCGGCCCTCGCTTTCGGCGTCTTTTACGGCTTCACTCACCAACGATCCATTACCGCTTCACAACGCGCCGCCGCCGCCAAAAGGGATTACGAGCACAAGCAACATTTAATAGAGCAAGCCAAGGCCGAGTACACGAAGTCCAAGAGCCCTGTTGCCGCATCAGCCTCACAGAAGAGCGGCCGTATGTCTTTTTCATACATCATTCCTTGCGCCCTTCAAAGCAGTTCAGAGACTGACCTCCATTCAGTAAACCAAGACCCGATGGCCTCGAATTTCGACCTAGAAGCTTACATGAACGCTCTGATGACGCAGAAGGCCTAATGCGTCTCCCGGTATATATGTTAGACGCGGATCAAGCCATACATGGGATAGACTGGGGGAAACAAAAGGGCACTCAGGACCGAGGATAAAGCTGAGCGTTTCAGTAAGGGGGGTGGCAAAATAACACTCTATCTGTACTACGTATCTTTCTGCCTCTGCGGAACAGCCTCCCTCGCCTCGGGACCCATGATTGTATGATTGTATCGCTTCCGACGAAGCTACCCGATAGATTTCCTTGTGTTCTCTGTGTACATCTATGCTTATACCAATTCAGGCTTTCCAGACGTCCCAAAGGGTCATTCCCTCAGTCATCTTTGCGATACTGACCATTCCAGAAGTACTCTGAAATTCGCGATTGGGTTATAAGCTCAGAAGATTCAATAGATGATGGTGGCAGCAAGGGTATTTACGATACCCGGTTACGCAATGCGAAAATACCGCTTCAACATTATCCATTCAATATCAATCACCAGCATGATAGCCGATTTTTAACACTAGCAGTATCGCCCATGCAAAAGATAGGTAGCCAAAAATAAAGCTATATACATCGATATACCGCACTATTTTGCATGTAAAAGCGCCATTCCTTACGTTAGTCAGTTCAATATGACGACTGGCAGCCCGCCCCTGTATATTCACATCTCTTCATACTATCATATCACCCTTCTACCCCTTTTATATCAACTCTTCCTCGGCTCAGCCGATTATGTTACAACAGTCACAGAAGCACGATCTGCCAGGAGGATTCAGAATCCGCAGAATAGATTGTGACTACACCAATAGACAACAAGTTCTATTCCTTTAGAGTCGTGGATATTGCACCTTAGCCACCATGTGAGAGACTTCCGCCGATTCCTTTGCCATGAATAAGCTGTAAAGAGTTACATGTCGATGTGCCCACGACCTTTGATTCCCATGAAGATTAATAGCTACCTGTAGTACAGAGCTACAGTATATGCCAAATTCTTCGTCACTAGGATTAGCTATTTCGCCTATATATCACCACACTTGGGGAGTTGTCCGTGAACATGATAGGTACCTACAATAGGTACCTACCTAGGTACCTGTCAGTACCTAATATCTCACCTATAAGGTTATGAATTTATACATACCTAGGTACTGTATGCAATATTCATAGGTACGATTCAAGAAAAAGGATGTTACGTAAACAGCTCCGGAGGTACGACATTGAAACACGGGCATGTCGATGTTACAGGCCTGATAAGGGTCGATAAGGCGTCCCAGATAAACGGGTCCAGTGAAAGCTACAGCTGTCCTCTCGTACGGACCACGGTACCTGGCAGCATAGCGTAAAGGGCCGCTTGGCTTTGACAGGTGGAGCAAGCATCACAGAGCAAACCGCCAAACCGCAGCAGCGCATTTCCCTGCCAGCAGCACCTTTGAGTTCCGGACAGACACCTGTAACTCTCCTCCCCAAACCCAATTCCCCCATGCCGACATAGATGTGACGGCGTCAACACCATCTCGCCGCATCGCCGCATCCTCTCGTCACAATGGCCGTCGGTCAAGGCGCCAGCGCCGGCTCGACACCGACCGAGCTGCTGGTCTCGCTGGGCCGGAACCAGAGTACCAAGACACTGCTGAAGGTCATCATCCTGGGCATCATCGCCGCCGCCGCCGTCGCGAGTCGTCTGTTCTCTGTCATACGTATGTATATTCCCTCTGACGTGTCCCGGGGGTGACGTAGAGGTGTCCTATGCTTAGGCAGTGGCTAATTGGTATCGTTCCGTGCAGGCTTCGAGAGTATCATCCACGAATGTAAGTTCACAATCCAGTCCCCTCACCCTGTTTCTGCTGCTGCTATTTCCTCTTTCTCTCTCTCTGCCCAGCTGACACCCGCCGCAGTTGATCCATGGTTCAACTTCCGGGCCACCAAATACCTCGTCGCCAATGGTTTCTACCAGTTCTGGGACTGGTTCGACGACCGGACATGGCACCCTCTGGGACGCGTCACCGGCGGCACTCTGTACCCCGGTCTGATGGTCACCAGCGGCGCCATCTACCATCTCCTTCGATTCCTCACCGTTCCCGTTGATATCCGCAACATCTGTGTGCTGCTGGCGCCAGCCTTCTCTGGCCTGACTGCCTATGCCGCCTACCTCCTCACCAATGAGATGACCACCTCGTCATCCGCCGGTCTTCTCGCCGCCGCCTTTATGGGCATTACCCCCGGCTACATCTCGCGCTCCGTTGCCGGATCCTACGATAACGAGGCCATCGCTATTTTCCTTCTCGTCTTTACCTTCTTCCTCTGGATCAAGGCCCTGAAGCTGGGTTCAGTCCTCTGGGGCGCCCTATGTGCCTTATTCTACGGCTACATGGTCGCCTCCTGGGGTGGCTATGCATTCATCACCTGCCTCGTCCCACTTCATGCTTTTGTTCTCATCTGCATGGGAAGGTTCAGTATGCGACTCTACGTCGCGTACACCACATGGTATGCTCTGGGAACGCTAGCCAGCATGCAGATTCCTTTTGTTGGCTTCTTGCCTGTTCGCACCAGCGAACACATGCCCGCGCTTGGTGAGTATCTTATTGCGCATTAAGACTTCCTATGAATAATTAGCTTGCTGACGCCGGAACAGGCATATTTGGGTTCCTTCAGCTTGTTGCCTTCCTGGAATACGTTCGATCCGCTGTCCCAAGCCGCCAATTCCAGACCTTCCTATACGTGGGCTTAGGTGGCATATTCGGTGCTGGTCTACTCGGTCTTGTTGGCCTCACAGCCGGCGGATATATCGCACCCTGGTCTGGCCGGTTCTACTCCCTATGGGACACGGGATATGCTAAGATCCATATTCCTATCATTGCATCTGTCTCAGAACATCAGCCAACTGCGTGGCCTGCCTTCTTTTTCGACCTTAACATGTTGATTTGGCTCTTCCCAGCTGGTGTATATATGTGCTTCCAGAAACTCGAAGACGAGCATGTTTTTATTATCGTCTACGCTCTCTTCGGCAGTTATTTTGCAGGCGTCATGGTGCGTTTGATGCTCACTCTAACGCCCGTTGTGTGCGTGGCTGCTGCGATCGCTGCATCTCAACTGCTCGATACGTATCTGCAATACAAGTCTCCCGAAGTCGCCGATAACGCCGAAGAAGAATCCTCGGACGGGGCCGCCAAGAAGGCATCCAAGCAAAGCACATTGCGGTCGACCTCTCAGCCTGTGGTTGGCATTTATAATCTCTTGTCCAAGGCTTTCATTGCTGGTGCCATGACACTCTTCCTCCTTATTTTTGTTCAGCACTGTACTTGGGTCACCTCCAACGCATACTCTTCCCCGTCGGTCGTGCTAGCGAGCCGGATGCCGGATGGTAGCCAGCATATTATTGATGACTACCGTGAGGCTTACCAATGGCTTCGACAGAACACCAAGGAAGATGCCAAGATTATGTCGTGGTGGGACTATGGTTACCAAATTGGTGGAATGGCTGACCGACCTACTTTAGTCGACAACAATACCTGGAATAATACGCACATTGCTACCGTAGGCAAAGCGATGAGTTCCCGTGAAGAAGTTGCCTATCCCATCATGCGCCAGCACGAGGTAGATTATGTCTTGGTTGTCTTTGGCGGCCTTCTTGGGTACTCAGGCGATGATATCAACAAGTTCCTATGGATGGTAAGAATTGCCGAGGGTATCTGGCCGGATGAGGTTAAGGAGCGCGACTTCTTCACTCCCCGTGGTGAGTACAAGGTTGACGCCGATGCCTCTGAGACCATGAAAAACAGCTTGATGTAAGTTTTTGCTTTGAATATCGAAGCGTATGATCCTAAGCTAATGCCTTCGATAGGTACAAGATGTCATACCACAATTACGCCTCGCTATTCCCCCCAGGGCAAGCTCAGGACCGCGTCCGTGGTGTACGACTTCCTGACCAGAGCCCTATCCTCAACAGCTTGGAGGAGGCTTACACGTCTGAAAATTGGATTATCCGAATCTACAAAGTCAAAGACCTAGACAACTTTGGGCGAGACCATGCCGCCGCAGCTTCTTTTGAAAGGGGTCACAAGAAGAAGAAGGCTATCAAAAAGCGTGGGCCGAGAGTGCTCAGAGTAGAGTAAAAAGGGGAATTTCACAAGGATTTTACCATCCCTGTGAGGGGATTGAAGTGGACTATTTGCGAGTGCAGACTTTACTTGGCAGTGTATTTTCGGGCGGTCTACTGGAAGATAAAAGCAGCCCCTAGAGTGGCGCACATTGTAAAAAAAAGTGAATAAACGAATAAGTTTCCTGTGCCTAGAAATGTTTGAAGGTTCCCTCTTTTGCTCTAGGGAGTAATTCTAGCATCATCTAAAACATATTCAAACTGCATGTAGATGTAGAGCTCATTGATGGACAATGAACAAAACCCCTTCCAATAATCAATACATGAGCACCGCCACTATCCTCCAATCTTCCCCAGGCCCTCTAAAGGTGGGGGTGGGGTAGGTGTACGTACATGGATAGAGAGAGGTAAGACAAGTTAGATTGTACAAACAAAATCAAAGGAGAAAAAACCCTAAGTGAAGCTCAAATTCAAAAATATTGACCGAAAACTAAATCAAAAAATTCAGGTTTTCGGAATTTCTGCCCACTACTGGAGTCGAACCAGTTGCCTCCTCATAAACTTAGTAGAAGTAGAAGGCACCTTGCCTCGTGTCCTCGTTACTAGTGAGGCGCTCTACCGGTGAGCTAAGCGGGCTGTCTCGTCGTTAGACATCTTGTCTTGGTTGCAGTATATAACCCTGCAGCTTTCCCGATCAGGATTCAAAATGAAGTTCCACCATGATTGTCAGATCCATGGCCACCGATTTTAAACAAGGGCTTGCTTGGCACGTACCCGCGCTTTCAAGATCCACTATACTACTACTCCGTACAGTAGGAGTTTTTCCATGTAAGTAAATCCGTAACTACTTAATGATGAAGATACCACATGCCAACTACCTGCCAGACCAAGAACACTATCACGCGAAGAATCCTACGCGTGTTGTCTTTTAATTAAAGCATTCGCCTGCCTCTTCTACAAGCGCCGAGCTCAAGGTTCATCAGTTCGCTACCGAGAGATCTCTCCCCATCTTCCTCGGCGGTTCGGGTATGTGAATGAACTGACGGACACCACGATTCGGAATACCCTGGAGCGCCGGGTGGTTAGTTCTGGGCTCGTACTGGCTACAAGAAGCCTCGTCCATGACCGGAGTGCTGCGACAGAAGTGGTGTTGAGTCTGCTGCCGTCGATCGAGTGCCTTTACGACAGAAGGGATTGCGAAACGTCATGAGCATAGTTGTCAGTTTAGCACGCCTGAAGAGAAATGCGGGTGAGGCTTCGTAAGTGGCGTCGCCTGCAAAGCTCGGCGTGGCGGCGTAGTACGTTCGGCATGCAGCAGAAGCACAAGCTCTGTATTCGAGGAGAGTCACTACCTAGCAGGGCATTGCAACCTGGGCAGAGTAGGCATAGTGGGATGCCTTGGTTCAACTTACATGATACCAATGGAGAAGTACATACAGACCGATCTGACGTAGTTTAGACATTTAACCTCCTGCAGCAATAAGTGTATCCCAAGATCTATAGCCAGGTTGACAAGTGCTGTAGAACTATCCACAGCATGTCCATCGATGCATTTCTCAGCCCGATTGGACACAGGCAGCGTAGAAGAGAGCGTTGCGCTGCCGGTCCGCTACGAATATCCGAATCCATTCTAGCAGGATGGCGGTTTTGGAAAAGGACATCATGATTGTGTATGCCGTGAGATAAGTATACACACGTTCTAGTCACAGTGAGCAATGAGGACGAAATGGGGTTGTCGGAGCAAACCGAATGTAGACGAACAAAGAAGTCGACATCGTGAATCATCGAGCCCATTGCGTAGACGCAAACTAGTTATGTAACCAGCTGTACCCAGAACAAGCCAGCTACCTGCCTGTATTAGAAGCGAATCAGGTCGCATACGAATGAGGCAAGAGGTAAATAGGCCTTGAAGCGAGTTAGTTCTAAAAGCATAGTAAGCTGTATTAATTCAACGAAGGAGAATAGCAAATGCTCATGGTCTTCGACCTTTGTTTGGCCTTAGAGAGCAAAATATCCGAGAATACACTCGGATTTGAAATAGGATCGAGGCTATAGATGTGCATAGAGCCACGACCGCGACCCCCAGTGCATTCTAATTAGGAGGATTGTCGTAATCAGTAATCGGAGCGGGATATATCATGTAAACATTGGCGGAACGCGACATACTGTCCTGCTCATGGCTTTTTTTTTTCTTCGGCAGAATATCATCCTGAATGTCACGACGTATATCGTATTGCTACCAGAGTACACGAATTCCCTCCTCTGTGTCTTCCAACTCCCCGTATTCTCGACGCTCCTTCTCCCCTTTCTCCTTCGCGTGTGTTCCTACACTCCTTCAATTCTGCTTCTAAGGCAAAGCTTAGCAAGCACGAAGGAGAGAAGATGTTGAAAGAAAGCTTTGTCAAACATAGTTTTACATCAAAATTATCGTAGCAGAGTCCAACGGCTGTTGCGACCGAACAGCGAGATCCCAACATATCCAGTCATTGTACTTGCCGCCTCGCAGCCCAACAGACAGCTCCTTTCAAGGCAATCAAGGCAACTTCGAATTCACTGTCTACAAATCTGTTGTTATTAGTGAACGGAACTTTTTTTTTTGAAAGAGCCGTTGGATCAAGCTGATGGCAGCCACATAAAGCGGCGCAAGCGATGACCACTGGCTGAGATAGCTGGAGTATAGTCGTCAAGTTCGTCCACTGAATGTCCAGTGTGGCCAATAAGCGAAGAACCAACAGGCGATAGAGGGTAGCTAGTATCATCGTCGTCATCATATCCGTCATTCGGTTGGTTGTACATATTCCTCTCCGGGGTTGAAGGATTAGTCATGCGTCTATCCTGATGCTTGAGATAAGCGATAGAAGGTTCAGTGAGAGCTTTCGATTTCGCCCAGTTTTCTTGTTCCTCCTCACTAGAGAACTCTGTCTACTGTTAGTAAACGGTATCCATCGATAAGATATAACTATAGAGCGTCACTTAGAACTTACCAATTCGCCCGACAGGCTTATTAGCTTCCGTACCTTCGACAGCCTCCTCCACCTCAGCCTCTTTAATGCTAGGGGTGGTAGTATTGTTTTCACTATAGTCCGAATCGGAATCACAGCTCACTATTGAGATGTTACTTCTCGTGACAAAGCTAGTCGTTGGAAAGGTGGAGGTCGCTGAGCCACCTAAAGAGCCTGATAGGCTATCAAAGAGCTTACCCGCAAATGCCAGGTCTCGCTCTGCCATTTCCTCCGCCTCTCGCTCTATATCCGTGTGGTAGTCTGACCATAGCTCGCTTGCAACGTGGGGGGAATGAGTATGGCGAGCGCAGGGCACATCCGTGGGTGTCAAGGGCTCAGCATAGCTAAAAAGGAGCTCCGGTTCATCAGATGCAACCCGTGCGTCATCCCCCCCTACTGACCATCGCACGTTATTTTCAGCAGTGGAAACTGGGTAGAACATCGATGCTTGCTCTAGATTTATTCCAGGGTTGTAATCCAATGAGATCTCTGGCACAGCAGAGCGGGGTCCATGAACAGAGTGGTCGGTTGACTCGACGGGCTTTCTTGTTGGGATGGCTTTGGGGGCCACCTCTACTGGTGTTTCGTTCACAGAAGCTTTCAGATGAGGGCTTTGGGCGCTACTAGATGCGTTTGTAGGATTGTCAGTTTTTGAAGAAGGGGCTCCGCTTTTCGTCCCTTCATTAACGTCACAATTAGTATTGATCCGTTTCGCAGTTTTGTGTATCTCGTTAGGAATCATCTGGTTCAAAGGTTCTGAAACTACTCCCATCCCAGCACTCTGTGACATTGGGGAAATTCCCGTAGCGCCACTTGTATCAAGATAAGGTGAGCTATGCTCTCCATCGGATACACTCGCCGATCTATCATCAGCGTCCAAGAATGGATTTTCACTACCAACCAGCGTTGACTGTGGTTGTGGTCGTGTAATACGAGTGCGAGTGCGAAGTTGAGTGGGGGTCGAGGGGTTGTTGCTTGCAGTCCGTACTTTGCTCCCGCCATTAGCTCTATGGAGTTCCTTTTCATCAGGGATGAGTGGCGAATTTTGCGTTGCGATCCATGAATCCACACTGGAATGCCTCTGTACATGCAAAGCTGGTGTCTTAGCTCTCTCTTGAACAGTTCTGCTATTTCGTTTTCCACGAGGACGGCGACCTCGAGAGACAGGGATTTTGGGTACGCCATGAACTCTATATAGATCCGATACAGGTGATGAGGCTCTTGAACTTGACTCTTCGACTGAAGAGAACGACTTTGGCGGTGGCGGAAACGAGCTAGGGGAGGCTTTACGTGAGAAGAGCCTCGAAAAAAGCCCAAAGCGGTTGGGTTTCTTAAGCTGGCGTGGTCCATCGCGGGAATTCTTGAACATGTGCTTGCCATCAGCAATTGCGCGGCGCTCGTTCGAACTCGGCCAAGGTACATTAGCTTCTCCGCGATCCTGTCACATGTTGTAAGCTTCTATGACAGGTATACAGTATTTATGGGATGGGATAAAAACCTTTTTGAGGGAAGAGTCGCCAGCCACGTCCCCGTCCGACCTATCACCATCCGTGTCTGCCGCATCCTTGAGGCAGTTGTAGCAATAATTAAGTGCGGGCACCTCGCCTCTCTTTAGAGGATGTGCTTTCTGATATCGCGTAGATCGCTTCTTACCACACCCACCACAGACATGAACATGGCGAATGCGTTTGCTGAGATATTCCTTCACGTCATCGCCACATCTAAGTTTCTCATGTGCTTGTATTGCGTCTCTTGACGAGTTTCTGGCCTGGTATCCTTGTTTGACGATCCTTTTGGCGTCGCCGACGCAGTTTTCACCCTGCTGGGACACTTCCCCTTGCCTAGTTGTCATGGCGCATGCTTGAAACAAACTCTGCGGTGGCGGCGGCGGCGGAGGCGGCGGAGGCATGTTAAATGGGCGAACGGTCGGTATAGCTTGCACGTAAGGAATCGGAGCAGGCTGCGATTGATTGAATTGCTGGTGAGGTAGCATGGTAGGTATTGCTGCAGTTTGGGGCACAGTAGTTCCTAGAGCATTCGGGTATTGAGCTGCCATGTTGTGTTGCGGATTCGCCCAGTTCTGAGCGCCCTGGGACATCGGTGCACCGTTGTAAGAATAGCCAGGTAGATAAGTAGGGAGAGAAGCCGCGCCATAGTAATTCATTGGAACATGAGCTACACTGGAGCTCACTATCGGGTGTCTGTGCCAACTCACGGCAGATGGAGGAGGAGGAGGTGGTGGTGGTGGGATATACTGCTGGCCTGATGCCTGCGGCCCTATAAATGACGAGTTTGTCCTGGAGGCATTGTTTTGATGTGAGTTTGATACGTTTTGGTTGCTATAATCGACCATCGTAGGAGCAGGGGTCGAAGAGGAGCGTATGCTGCTCGTCTTGCGATGGATCACCGGTGATTTAGGATTTTCGTGCCGATACACCTGACGACTATCATTGAGCATCTGTGCATCTTGGCTCGGTCGAGGTGTGACCGGGGTAGTAATCAAGCCTGAGCTCTGAGATGCCAAACTCAACGGTCGGGCCTGTTGTTCGTAATCTTTGCGAGACGGAACACCGAAGCTTTGGCCAAGGATATCGAAACCGAAGTCTTGCAGGATGTTGCTGGACTTATTGCGAC